GTTCCACTCTGTCCTGTAGGGGCGCTGTGGGCATGGTTTTTTGATTTTGATCCTTGACAGTGTTGCAGACCTGGGCGGGACAGTGGCACAGTCGAGACCCCCACCAGCAGCCCTGATGCTGCGTGATCGGCATCAGCAAAGCACTTTGTAGTTAGGCAGAGTCTTGGTCCTCAGAGAATTCCTGTTTCCGAGCCTCAGCTCACCCCACTTCCCTGACGTTGAGTTTTGGCCATAAAACCGCTCACCAGTCCTGACTTGGCTGTGAAGTTTCCTTTCTGTATGGTGTCACTCTCCAGCTGCCTAGTCACAGCTCATATAAGGTGCAGGGTCCAGAAAGCTCAGCCTTTCAGAACCCAACACATTGTAGCCTCCCAGGAGTGTTCAAAGAGACCAGTGGCTGCTGCCCTCCTGGCAGCTCAGGATGCGCCTTAAAGCCTCTGTGGTCCTGGGGGACCTCCCTGTGGTGCCAGTGCAGGGCTCCCAGGCAGTTTGCAGCTAGCAGCTTATGCCTTCTATCTGTGGTCACTATGGAAACGTTAGAAGCGCCTTTTCTAAAGCTGAGACACAAAGGAGTGCTTCAAGTGTTGGTGGGATTAGAGACTTGGGAAGACGTCTCATTCTCCCCCACTCTTTCTGTCTGTCTGTCTCTTTAGAGAGGGAACAAGAGGGCAGTGTGAATATTAACTGGGACTTGCTTTTATCTCCCTGTGACACTCAGGACTGCCGGGGTCCCCACCCGCCCTCCAAGGTCTTGGCCTCTCATGGCACTAACAAGGGAGGTCATCCATATTCATGGCCCGGGAGGGGGGCTGTGGGGACACTCCAGCAGAGGCAGTTTGAAGATGGTTCTCTTTGCTGCTCTGACCGCCTGAGTGTGAGGTGTTCTGGGGCGATGGCGCAACTGTGGACCCTCAGGTGGTGGTTGACTGACGAGGCAGACATCTCTGGCCCGTCTGAGGAGGGGGTGTGGCACACGCGCGGTTCTGACTCCCAGCACCCACCTTCTCAGAGGAGGGATGGAAGTTCATCTCAGGACCCAGAGGGACGTGGAGCACACATTTAAGTGAAAAGTGTTGGCTTTTGTTTGTTCCTTTAAGATCTCCCAGGAGCACGACGCTCAGGGCAGACACTCTTTCCCTGGTGACGCTATCCTCCTCTTTGCTTTAAGGAGATTCCAGGGGAGGTTTTTTGTTTAGGGCTTAAAAATTATCTCAGGGCAGTAGTTTCATGGGTTCATCCAGCCTCTCGAAATGCTGGATTCTATGAGAATTTGACATTCTGTTCTGCATTTTCCCCCTTTTAATCAGAACTCTTGTATCGAATCTTTGATCAGAGATGTTCAGTGACAGTAGCCAGGCACCATCCAGTTCCTCTGGTCTCATGTCAGAGGAGGCAGTTGTCCATGGAGACCATTGGTCACCCATTCCATTTCCTTCCCTTTTCCTCCCTCCTCTTCTCCTTTCCTGCCCCAAGTGAGTAGAGACCAGTTGTTGCACCATTGATGGCCACTTGCAAGCTTCTAAGACCAGGGCATGACACAGCAAACCAGGAGATGGAAGCACTTTATGCAGTATTAAGCCAGTTAATCCTTTCGTTTTCTTCTTGCTTTTAACGTTCAAGGTCCTGCTAAGTAGTAGCTGACTCTGGTGGGGTCTGGAGGCCACAGTTCTTCCCAGCCTTCCCCGGGCCCTCGACTCACACCTCTTTTACCCCCTTAAAGAGCAGCTGGAGACAGAGGTGCTTTCTGCTCTCGTCTGTGGCGCCCCTGCTGTCAGACTGTCCCTCTGGTGGCTGTGCGAGTCTGCCCTCGTGAGTTTCTCCACCATCACGATTGGTCTGTTCATGGTGTCAGGAGCCTGCAGCTGATGGTGGCTCAGCCTGCCAGTGGGCTGAGTGAGGCTCCTGGGCGGGCAGGCTGTCCCCAGGGGCCCTGGTGCCCTGCTGCTCTCTGGTCCCCTCTCCCTTCCCGCAGAGTGGGCGTCACGGGAATTCACTACCCACAGAAAGAGGCTGCCAGACACACGGAGGGGCGTTGCTGTTAAAAGGCTACACCGACAGTGGTGCCCTAGCTTGTGACTGGAGCTGAGCAGGGCCACACTGTCCTTTCCTCCCAGCCGCGTGGGACACCTCTGGGTTGGGATGTGACGTGATGGTCCTTCCATGCACGCAGTACAGCATCCTCACCTGGTGGCATTTATCCTGGTTTACTTTCATCCGATCTCTGCCCTGCGGTGCCATGAGTCAGGAAACCGCACCACAGACGAGAAGCACATGTCTGTGTGGGTTCCTGAAGTCCCCAGGGCCTCACCCACACGGCAAGTGGGAGAGCTGTCCATCCGTTAGTACGTCCAGCCTGCGGTGCCCAGCCCTGCACCGGGGACAGGATGGAGCCGGTGGAGACGCCATTGCTGCTTGCGAAATGGGTGGCAGTCTGTCAGGGCAGACGGACAGAAGCACCTAATCGTGCCTGAATTCCCTCGGCACCCGCGGAACACCCACTTTGGGCAGGGCCTAGTCCCAGTGCTGGGACCCAGAGGTGAACGGGTGTGGCTGCTGCCCTGAGTGTGGTGCGATGGGCGCTATAGGCAGAGACAGTGCCCTGGAAACACAGCAGCTGGGGCAGGCTTCCCAAACGAGAGGGCAGCCCAGCTAGGAAGGGAGTCACGTGGCCTGTCGTGGGGTGGGGCCGGCATTGGAGGTCACTGGAGCGTGGGGTATGAAGGTACCTACACCAAGGTGGGTGCAGTGCGGTGGGGTTGTTGGGCGTCTGGAGGAAGACTGCACTTCCTTGCAGAGTGATTTGCAACTTGCAGTGAGCACCACCAGCCCTCAGCCTTCAGTAGCCCCCTTGGTGGTGGACATTGCCACTTTGCTATTTCCCTTACGTGCCGTTTCAGGAGGCAGCAGAGTGTCCCGCTGCCAACCACTGGTTGCACACCTGAACTGAAATCCCCATCTCAAGTTTTCGGGCCTGAAGTTAGCCCCAGCTGTTGGTTTCTCAGGCAGCTCTCAAGATCACGTGTTTCCCTGACGCATGCTCACCCCACCCTGCGGGGGAAAGAAGGTGCATGTGTACGGTGTCACCAGGATAGGAAGTCGTTGATGTTGGCTCCTCGGGCAGCTCTCCTCTGCTCACCCCCACTCCACCCTGTCTGACAGTGCCAGACAGGCCTTTGGCTGGCTGCAGCATCTATTCCATCCTTAGATCACGTCATTCCTGTGGGGCAGGGCCCATCCTCAGCTATGTCTCAAGTGTCCTTGGACCCAACCACTGAAGACCGGTCCCTACAGTCACTTTAGTCAAATCTTTTCTAAATATTATAGGAGCAGTTTAATGCTTTCCCAGCAAGATAGGGGTTTACCAAGCAACATTTGGTTGCTAACTAGGTCGGTGGTTCAAACCTGCCAGCTCCTCTGCGGAAGATGAGGCAGTCTACTAATGTAAAGATCTATAGCTTTGGAAACCCAGTGGGGGTCACCGTGAGTCGGAATCAACTCGAAAGCGGTGGGTTAGTTAATAAGACATCTCTGTAAATGATCAGTGACACTGTCTTAGTATTTTATAAGTCTCCTGTGTGAAGGCCACTTTGCGTAATGTTTACAGGTAGAGTCTGAGGGCGCGGTACAGAAGGCAGTTCGGATCACATACTTTCTAGGGAGCACACAAAACCCTGCAGGGCTTCCTGGCCACTTCACTGCGGCGCTGAAGGGGGGCGTCTATGATGACTCCCAGGAAACAATTTGTATTCCAGCTGGGCCACATCCGACAGGATAACTGTCCTGTCTTCTGACCTGACACCATCTTGGCTGAGTCCCTGTTGCTGCTGCTCTTTGTCTAGTGCCTCAGCACCATCATGATCCAGAGACAGGCTGTGTGTGTGTGCACATGTGTATATGTGTGCACACGCATGTGCTGGTGTGTTCATAGACTTTAGTTCTAGCTGTTCTCCAGTTCTGCTTCCTCGTTCAGTCACTCATCACATGCTGATGAAGTACCTCTGTGCAGGTCACCAGATCTGGCACACATGTGCTGGACATACATGTGCACATGCCTGCAGCATGCACTGTAGTTTGTTCCTGCTTTGGACACACACCGTAGTACATTCCTGGCAGCTGTGTCTGGCAGCTGGGTGTCTGTGCTCCTTTTGTTGGGGTTCTGTCCTAGATGCCCAGGTGAAGTCAGGAGGCAGGCAAGTATGGTGCCAGTTCCTTCACTCTGACTCCAGTCTTGACCCAGTGGGTGGTGTACACCATCCGGAACCTCACTGAAGACAATAGCCAAAACCAAGACTTGATTGCAAAGATGGAGGAGCAGGGGCTGGCGGACGCGTCTGTACTCAAGAAAATGGGTTTTGAAGTTGAAAAGCAGGGTGAGAAGCTGATCCTGAAATCTACTAGTGAGGCGCCCCAGCCGGTGAGTACTCCTGGGGGGCCCGTCCCCCCATGACCCCAGGACCCGGGCGGGACAGGGTTCCCTTACGCGGAGGGGGTGGGAGAGTCTGCCTTCTGGAGCCACACACCAGAGGAAGCTCCAGGTAGAACTACAGAGCTTTGTTCAGGCTTCATGCCGCCATTTCTGAAAAGAGTTAAAATTCCACACCCGCTCTGGGGGAGAAGGCTGAAGAAGTGGGATCAAATTTATACATGGTCTCAAAAAGCATGTGTCTGAGGGGAATGAGAATTTCTTTAAAGGATAGCTCATGTTCATGGCAGCAGAAACCACAGGCCAGAGCCCAGACGCCCGTGCAAGGTGGTGCGAGGCTTGTCAGAACTGTTCTCCCTCCTCGTTGACCAGTTCTCAGTTTTGTTTTCTCTCTGTCTGGTGAGTCCTGTTAACACTTGTTATAGCTGCGTTCCTCTTTCTTCCTTCCTAGTGAATGACCTCTCCATCCAGATGTCTGAATTTGGGGATCTGTCTCGTGGATTTTTCACATGCAGCAGCTGGCGAATTTCCACGTTTGAAGATGTAGGAGTACAATTTCAGGAACACGTAGTCTCTTAGACGGTAGCGTTAAATGCATATATGCTTGAGTGTGTGTGTAGACAAGCATCCTGTTGTTTGTTTCTTTGAAAACATACCTGCCTGGTTGCCTTTGTCCCATGGATACAGTGTGCATTTCAGTAGCAGTGTGTATGTCCTGTGCAGCAAATAATAAAGTTTTTTCCTTGAGGGCACCTCCCTTGTTTGGCAGACGGGTATTTGCTTGAATCCTGGCTGCCTTTCAGCTGGCGAGTCTGTGCGCTCCTTTTATTCCTCTTCTCGTCGGGTTTTCTGAACTCTGGCCCGCGGTTGAAGTAGTTTCTCACTGTGATTAATTCCGGCAGTCTCTTTTCACCCCTTCTGCCTTTCCAAAACATTGACAAGACTCATTTCCAGTTAATTAATTTGAGAGATGCTGAAGAATAGAAACCGCCCTCTTCATGTTCGGGACTGGGCTGTGTTGTCACTGAGCCCACTCTCTGGAATGTGGTGGGGGTGAGATGGATGGGGGCAAGCGGGGGCCATTAACTCTTCTCGTTCCAAATGGCCCTTGAGTTAGACTTGGAGTCCGTTCCATTTCAAAGGTGAACGCCCGCGCCTCCCCCGCCTTGGTGCTGCCGTAGCTGGGGAAGGGGCGTGTCGCGGCCCACCCTGTGCGCGTAGCACAGTGTCGGGGCGCAGGTTCTTCAGGCCCGAAGATCCAGCCTCCTGAAGACGCTGTACAGGCCGGCCAGGCTGCACTGTAACTGAAAGTCGTTTGAGGGAGCAGGCGTTCGTTTCACCTGCGTCCGTCCATCTGTCTGCACCTGCATCAGAGGTTGAGCTGGGATAAATGTCCTTTGTAACCACCACAACCTCGAAAAACCCAGCAGCCATGTGGTGAGGTCTTCACATACATTACCTTCTTGAGCAACCGCTTAACTAAAACTCACTAGAGGTCCGCACACCTCACGTTGCACCTTCAGGATGGAAACAGCAAGGACTAAGCCGCTCAGGCCACTTGTTCCAAGTAAGATGCTTCAAGTGCTGCACAGCCCGCTGGCGGTGCTTCGTAAGCCCAGCGTGCATGCTTTCCCCAGGCTGGCTGATGTCCTGGGCATGGCTCCAGAGGCGCTCCAGCCCGTGGGCCTGGGGATGGGTAAATGTTGGCGCTCTGACGGTCCATCCGCGAGGAAGCCGGTGCACGCTTTGGAGGACACCCAGCAGCCACCACTCTGGGACACAGTGAGTTAAGGTCCTGTGCTCTGAGTGGAGGCCTGGCTGGAGAGGAGCTGCTGGGGCCCCTTGTCCCCTCACAAGTCTGCAGTCATGGTTCCTTTCTAGCTCCCTCAGTGGGTGTGTGCACATCAGGGGAGTCACACAAACGTGGCAGCATCGGGCAGCTAATAACAAACATCAGTACAAGGGGCCCGGGCCGCTCCAGAGCGGGGCGGTGGCTGCGTGTCTCCTAGGTAGGAAACGGGCTTGCACAGTGAAAACACGGATGTAGCGTTGTGGCTGCTCTTCCAGGCCCCGGGCCGGATTAATTCCTAAACACAACAGCCTCCCTGTCCTCGGCTGTTAGCCTCGGAGCTGCTGAGAGCCTTGTTTGACACGCCGTAGGGGATGAAGTCACCTCAATCAGTCATTTAGGGAGAAATGAAAAGCCAGGCAAGCCTTACAAAATGCATAGAGAGGCAGGACAGCCATGGCAAGGTTTGTGACCACATTGCTGCTTTCAAGGCGGTGACGAAGCGGCTCAATTTCCTTCATTTAAGGACAGCAGGGGTGGGGGTGTTGCTGCTGGATCCCGACTCCAAGGGTTAATCCCTTAACAACTGGACCTTCCAAGACCTTTCTCTTCCCAGCTTCCATTCTGTGCTGTGTTCATGTACGTGTCCGTGTGAACACACAGACCTTTGTTTTTTAATACTGTTTTAGTTAGGAATGGCAGGACTTTGGAAAGTACAGAATAGGTCCATTTTGCAAACATGGGATAGAGAGAGATGATTTAGGTGACCTCAGCTACCAATCAGTAAACTTCAAATCAGAAGTGAGTGTCTTCTGGACGTTGGTCTCGGGACGGTTCTCAGGCAAGGCGGCGCCCAGTACTCTTGCGGCAGTGCCTGGGATTTAAATGCTACTTAGATGGTTATTTCTGTCGTTTGATTTTGTTTTCTATTCTTTATTCCTGGAATGGATAAACAGAGATGTTGGGACGACAAAAAATGCCAGTCTCTGCGGGAGGAAGATGTTTAAATTCTATTCCATGGTCAGAAAGTTGTGCATGTAAAAGGGTCAATTTGACATGTGAAGCAGTAGAATTAAGATAGAATTCTGAAATCCATGGAAGACGGGAAAACCTTCCGATTTCAGATCATCTACAAAGCCACCCTCTGGGGTTGCAGGGCAGGGGGAGCCCTCAGTGCTGTCCAAGGTTCTGATCATTCCAGCGGCAGTGCAGGAAAATTGGTTAAAAACCCAGTTTTCAAAACTAAATTGAGATTTTTTTTCCTTGCCTTTGGATGACACAAAATCCATTTTCCTCTTCCCTATACAACTATTTGTCATTTTTACATAAAAATGTAAAACATCATATAGGTGATGTTTTACAATGTGAACTTGACTTCCCGTCCACGGTGCACATGGATATTTTAACTGCATTGTGTCCGTGAATGGTGGTTGTAGGATT